AAACTGTATTTCCTAAAGAGAATGAGAATCTGGCAGATTTTCTGCAACGATGCCAAAAAAAAAAGTCTGAAGTCATGATGTGTCCAAGATGCATCTCCATCTTCGACAAAAAGGCTGCATAACACATACAGGGCGTAAGGGAAGCAAAGGAGAAATGGGTCACCAGTGCCCAACTCAACATGGTTTCTGAGGTTAGATATGATCCCAGAAGAGGATATCATAAAGGACCGATGAACCAGGCGAAGAGGCCATCAACTTTCAGGCCTCCAACAAATGTCCCCGTGGACACTTGGCTAAAAATAGCAAACAGAAAAAGGCCTAGTGAGAAGATATGGTGAATGTTCGATGTGCCAAGAGGATCATCCTTGGCATATAGGAAGGAGTTCCAAACTACAACAACAAACAAAGTGGCTCATGTGTCGAGCAACTACAAGGAAAAAAAACCCGTCTCGCTCCTAGTGGAGAAGATATCAAAGAGGGCGAAAAGCCGAAAGAGAGGCTACAGAGGAGCCTCAACCGGAATCAAGCACCAATGTACCACAAAGAATGGACAAAGGTAAACAAAGAAAGTCTTTGGAAAGGAAACCAATTGCTAGAAGATTGGTGTAGCCAGAACAAAGTGAATCAGATGAAGAAGGTAATTTCGAATCTGATGCTACTTTAGATATTATGGTGAACATAGTATCAGTACTATCCAGGGAGTACGACCGCCAAGTCGAAGTCGAAGAGACTGACTGGGAGGTCGAACAGGAAATGGCCAAACATAGGCCAGTGTGTTATTATGTGATGAACAAGCAAAATGTTTTCTTCGAGCCACCTACTGAGGCGATGAAAAATCACCTCAAACCCTTGTTCATAAAGGCAAAGATGGGGGAAATAACCATCAACAAGATTGGTTGATTGTGGGGCTACAATAAATATAATTCCCCAATCTATGCTGAGGAAAATGGGCAAGGGAGATGGAGATATCAAACCCCACAACATGGTTCTATCGAACTATGAGGGAGGTATTGGAACTACTATGGGGGTAATACAATTAGACCTCAAGGTGGGAACAATACTTCGACCAACTATGTTCATAGTCATTTCAGCGAAGCCCAACTATAATCTACTCTTAGGTAGAGAATGGATACATGGCATAGGTGCAGTACCATCTTCAATGCATCAACGGGTTACAATTTGGCGCCCTAATGCCATAGTGGAGAATATCGAAGCCGACCAAAATTATTACTTGGGTGAAGTTAACAATGTTGGAAAAAATAGCTTCGACAGAAACTTAGCTCACATAGGGCCATGCAATCCTCCTGACTTCGATTTGGCACCAGCACCAAATGTCTTTTGCTCCCTCTACCTGCATTCCGACCATGGGTTCCAGTGAGATAGAGAAGATTTATCAAACATTGACTATGGAGGAGTTGATGACATATGGCCAACGAGTTGGGGAAGTGAATTTGATGATGAGGACTGAATCACAAGCTTTACAAAAGATTTCGGCATATGTAGCCGAAAATAGAATGATAGCGGCCTTAGAGGCTGAAGTCAAATATATGGCTCTTGAAGCCAATGAGAAGTATTTCTTCCAGAAGGTCCTGGGAAAGACTTCGAACCGGAACCACCTGATTCGAAAGGGGAAGAAATACAAAACTAGAGGCTAGATGCCATCTATGATGATGAGCCTTTGGGTTTTGAAAAGGATTCGTTGGCAAACAGTGTTAAAATGCTAGCGCAAGATCCTCTGAAAGAAATAGACCTGGGCAAAGGTTTGGTGAAAAGACGAACATACATTAGTGCGAAGATGAATCCAGAGCTCAGGATCGAAATAATTCAATTGTTGAAGGAGTTCAAAGACTGTTTTGCATGGGATTATGATGAAATGCCTGGTCTCGACAGAGAATTGGTAGAACTTCAATTACCAATAAAGCCTGAAAAAAAGTCTGTCAAGCAAACTCCAAGGCGTTTTGCACCAGAGATCTTGTTGAAGATCAAGACGGAAGTCGAAAGACTGCTGAGATGCAAATTCATCCGAACAACCAGATATGTCGAATGGATTGCAAATATAGTACCTGTTATAAAGAAAAACGGTACTTTAAGAGTGTGCATCGATTTTAGAGATTTAAATGCTGCAACACCCAAAGATGAATATCCAATGCCTGTGGCGGAAATGCTTGTCGATTCTGCCGCTGGCTTCGAATACATGAGTATGCTTGATGGATACTCGGGGTATAATCAAATTTTCTTTGCTGAAGAGGATGTGTCGAAAACAACATTTCGATGTCCTGGGACTTTAGGCACTTACGAATGGATAGTGATGCCTTTTGGCCTGAAAAACGCAGGGGCTACATATCAAAGAGCAATGAATTATATCTTTCATGATTTTATTGAAACTTTTATGCAAATTTACATTGATGATATTGTTGTCAAATCTTTTTCAGGTTAGAATCATATGGACCATCTTCGACAATCCTTCGAAAGGATGAGACGTTATGGTCTGAAAATAAATCCCCTAAAATGCGCTTTCGGCGTAAGAGCAAGGGACTTCTTAGGCTTTGTGGTCCACAAGAAGGGGATTGAATTAAACCAGAACAAGACCAAAGTCATTTTAAAAGCGCCAACTAGCAAGAAGGAGTTGTAATCTCTACTTGGAAAGATAAATTTCCTGAGGAGATTTATATCCAACTTAAGTGGAAAAACGCAAGCCTTTTCACCACTACTTCGACTCAACAAAGGAGGATTCGAGTGGGGGCAAGAACAACAAGAGGCCTTCAACAAGATCAAAGAATACCTCACCAAGCCACCTATTCTGGTACCTCCTTGTAGAAATAGGAGTATGAGATTGTACATAGCTGCATCTGATAAAACTTTAGGAAACATGTTAGCTCAAGAGGATGAGAATGGTGTCGAAAGACCCATCTATTACCTCAGTAGAGTTTTAAACGATGCAGAAACTAGATATAGCGAAGTTGAAAAATTATGTTTATGTCTTTACTTCTCGTGTACAAAACTCAAGCAATATATTAAACCAAAGAAAAGGCAAGCAAGATAAAAAATTCCAAAGAAAAGGATTCGTGGTTATTTATAGTATTCAGGGAAAAGTATTTTTCCTAAAGACCATTTAATGCTGCAGAGTTAGTGGGGCACGTGGCGAACGTTGAGGCAGTTATCGTACAGGTAATGGAAACGTTTGTCATATTTTTGTAGGTTGTAGGGATAATAGCCATCATGACAGCGTAGTAACGGCTGATTGACAGCGACGTATTGGGAAAAAGGTAATGATGACTCTGAATACCAACAGTGGTTGGTAGAAGGCGAAAAGCGCACGATTGACTTCTGTGGCCAAAAAGAAGACAGGTGTCGAATGGGAATCTCAAAGAATGATCATTTCTTCTTGCGTCGAAATTGACATTCTTGGGGGGCAATTTGTTAGCTCCTAAATTCGACACCCACAACAGATTGGCCTTATGGGCCAAAAATAGATTGAACAAATCTAAGCTGGAAATGCTTCGACAAATTGGAAAATACTTAGAGAAATTTCTGAGTTAAAGTTAATCTTCGACCAGAAGGTTCTTGCGGCCTTCGACTGAAAGGGCTTCAGGGCATTCGACTAAAAGGAAACCTCGTATCAGCAACAGGTGATTTTGAATCTGAAGAAAGGAGGGAAAAGCAGTTCGCTTGACAGTTGAGGAAAGTAACGTGACATGAAGATAGAGATCGAGGCATATACAAAAGACACTTGTCCTCATCTTAGAGCAAAGCAACTCCTCGACGGTTACCTAGTTCTAGTATAAATATAGGAAGTTTATATAGATTTTCGTGTGTTCAACTAACTATACAAGTCATTCAATATTATTCGAGTACCCGCTGCGTTAGAAAGAATACTGAAAATGTACGTTTGAAACACCACATTTTATAATCAAAGTCTTTTATGTTCCTCTTTACATTCCTTGCCTTTTTATCTTGCTTGCAAAAATCCATTTTCCCTTGCATTCTATTTTCCCTTGCATTTTACTTGCATTTTTTACCAGATTTTTACACTTAAACTCTTCTCAATCCCTTTTCTATTTACTTTCTACACTCAAACTCATTTCAAACCTCAACCTTCTCAGTCGAACGTGTGTTCTTTATTTATATTAGCATTTATATCTAAACAACGCCAATAATTAGCATATGTCCTAGGATCAAACTGATCAATCCTGCGAGTAACCAAAAAATTACCCTTTTTGGAAGATCAGCAGTTGTTTACCGATTAACACGGCAAACACTAACTTATTTGGAGTATATTTTTTGAAGTTAAATAAAAATATACTTTTATATTTAAACTTACAACTAAATTTACCAAATATTTTAATTGACTAGCTTTTCGTCTATAAACTATTAGCTACTAACTAGCTTTTCGTCTATAAACTATTAGCTACTAACTAGCTTTTCAACTATCAGGAAACTAATAGCTTAATTTTACCAAACTAATATCAGGACCAGAATTTCAAAGTTCATTTAAATTTGTATAAATTGTTTCCAACTTATTTCAATAGAGTTCCATGAATAACTTCTGAATAAACACTTCATTAACTTCCACCAATTATTTGGATCTAGTAATTTTGGATGCATAATTGTTAAAAATTCAGCATTTGAAGAAAAGGTAAAATGATTGAGAGGAAACATCTTAAAAATAGTTCACAAGCACTATTGAAAAATTGTGAAAAAAAACAACCAAAAATTAGTTCAATTAATTTGACGTCATTCTACAAATAGAAATAACCTGTGTTTCCTAAAATTTCATAATAAATCATTTTACACGGCAAAAATATCCAAAAGGGTGTATAACAAACATCACCCCCTCTTAGACATAAAAGGAGAATATGACTAATACACACCACCTAAGATCAGAGCAGATGTACCAGAAACACAAAATGCCAAAACAATGACTCAATAAAATGAAATCGAAAGGCTCAAGACAAATCCTAGCATACCATTCATACGTATACATTTGTTAACTAACACTATTAAACACGGCTGTTACCTTGCTGAGCCTTTGACTCATAAAAGAGCCTCACAGAGGAGTAAATGGTAGAAGGTTCGGCCATTGCGCCATTGCCATAATCCCCACAAGCTAACCTCTTTGTAACAGGTGGAATGAGAGAAATACCAAGCTCCTCAATGGAGATGAGATGCTTCTCTGTGAAAGGATTGTTCCACATAAAAGTGTTCATGGCAGGTGCAACAAATAATGGCTTGCTGTAGTCCCAGGCTCTCACAATACATGTCAGTAGATTGTCACACAACCCTCCAGCAATCTATAACAGCATATATTTAAGTTATAGGAACCAATAAAGTGGCAATTGTCAAATTTTTAAGAATAATAGAAACATGCATGTACACCCTATATAAGACGTACATACAAAAACTGAACATCATATAATTGATAGGAACGCATCATCACGCAAATATGTTGGAACTGTAGAAATTGGAAAGTCTTTTAGAGATGGTTTAATTTCTAAAAATGCCATCTGTTTTTATTTTCAAGACTTGTGAAAGTGTTAGATCTGTTTTTAAAAATTGTAAAAAAAAAAAATGGTGATCAATTACCTTGCCAAGAGTGTTTGCCGATAATGGAGCAATGACCATGATATCAGCCCATTTGCGAAGCTCAATGTGAAGCACGCTATCGCCTAGTTTCTTCCAACTAGACCATTCATCATTGTCGGTATACAAAATCACATCCTTGGGAATCGCTGTTCTGTCAATAAAATGCAAAGATGGATTTGTGGCAACTGCTCTTACTTCGGCCCATTCACAAAAACAATGACAAAGATTTGCAAATTTAACCGCAGCAACACTCCCACTAGTAGCAAGTAAAATCCGAGGCTTCCTGGGTGCAGTAGCCACTGACATATTCTCTCCCACTGAACTCACAGGTTCTGAGCAAGCCATCATTAACCAGAAATTTTAACAAAGATCTTAAATATCCACCATTCAAACAGGAGTTTCAGCTTACTCGTACAACAAACCTTCAAATTGTTAACATAAAATCCCTTTATAGGATAGTACTTAATAAAGTGAATAGCACAAAATCCATGTAAAAAAATCCTTAGTTATTGAAATGAAACTGTGAATAATTGAATATAGATGAATCTATTGCACAAAATGAAACACCAATCCCAAATGTACATACTATAATAATTTAAATATATTTTTTGAAAAAAGAATTCAACATATTTTACTTTACATACTACTTGGTTAAAATACCAAATTATAAACTACTCAATGACTTCATTCTGTGAAAACCACATGTAATCTATATGTAATCTATCTGTCCTGTTAAGCACTTAAGCTGAAATATAAACTTAAACTAATGAGATAAAAATCTCAGTTAGACTTATATGCAAAATATACAAGCCTATTAAAACATTTTCTTAGCTATAACTTTTTTAGTAGTAATGTTATAATTTCCTTTGTGTGATTAATTCTTTTGTCTACAGTGTAGATAGGATTAGAAATTTATAATCCCACTTGAAATATCTCCAAGCATAACTCACACCCTCTTAGTACAGTCCATAAAGTTTGAATATTGCTTCTCTTCTTTGCACAAATCTCACAGTTGATAGGTGCATCTTTTATTCTGTTTCGATAACGTAACACTACTGTCCGACTCCTTTTATCTGTTCTATAATCTATTACAATACAAATACCAAATTCCAACATCGTTCTTCCCAGACTTTTTTTACCAGATCCGTACTAAGTGTTGTCTGACATTTTTACAATCGATGACTGACAATATATGAATGTCTATTAACAATTAATCACATACAAATCATCTAAAAGAGGGAAAAACACAAATGAACACCAACAACTTAAGTACTTGTGAATTTTCAGCTAGTATACACCTAAAATTAGGACCCGCAAATCCAACTTCATTTTCCTAACCCTCTAACATACCCTTAATTAGGAACAATCATGTAGAACATTTCACAAACAGTTAATATGCAATATCTAAAACTAAGAAAAATGAGTAAGAATTCTTACCTCAAACCAAAGAAATGGAAAAAGTGAAATGAACTTTTAGATCTTTCCTCTAACAAGTAACAGCCAACCTTCAAAATCCCTTGGGTTTCGTTCTTGCTAACTGTTGAAGGGTTTTGTAATAACAAGAAACTTTGAGAACGAAACCCTAATTAATGTAATAAAGTAAAGTAGTTAGAGTGGGTGATGATGAATCAATGTTGAGATGAAATTGAATGGGAAAGAAACAACACCTGAATGTAAATTACAGTTTGATTGGTTTTTTGGATGCAAATTTTATTAGATGGAAGAAGAAGAACCCAAAACGAAGTTGTTGATGTTTCTTGCTTTTTTACTTTTTCTAACTTAAATAAAACTAAAATTACACAGAAGAAAACAAAAAACCAAAAAATATATATAATTATAATCGTTAATCTAAACGTGAAAAACAAGTAACAGGTGGTCGTAATAAGCATGGAGTGAAGGTGAACCATCAAGGGGTGGTGGCGCAGTTGGCTAGCGCGTAGGTCTCATAGCTGAGAGTAATCCTGAGGTCGAGAGTTCGAGCCTCTCTCACCCCAATTGTCTTTTTTTATCATTTTTAACTCTATTATTCTTCCAAACTACTAAGATGCACAATTAAAAGTTCTAGAGATTTTGTTCCAGTTAAATTGACTATGGACATTCCAATAGTCTTTTTTTATCATTTTTAACTCTATTATTCTTCCAAACTTCTAAGATGCACAATTAAAAGTTCTACAGATTTTGTCCGAGTTAAATTGACTCTGGACATTCTAAGATGCACAAACAAATAATGTCTCATTTTACTAATGTATTATTAAGCATTTTCTTAAAACTATATTTGTGATCATTTTAATATTAGAATAAGTATCATCTTTTATAACTTTTTTATTAATTATAATATATAATTAATAAAATAATTATATAATTTGAGATGTAATAGATAAAAATTAAATGTAGAAGGATCTTTCTGATACATGTTAGTGTGGTTCACTCGTCTTTCAACTAGTGCATATTATCAACAATTATTGATAGATCTACTAGTATAGATTAGATATATTAATTATTCAATAAATTTTATTAAAATAATATTAGTAATATAAGACAGAGTAGTACGTATTTATTTATAACCAACATCTTCTTATTGACATATCTACTAGTATATATTTATTTATTACCTTTTTTCATGTTCATTGAATTTATTTTTTAAAATCCTACCTTTTTTCTTGTTCATTGAGTTTATAAGAGATACCAGTCCCGTGCAGGAGTAATTATTCTTGAATTATGACTTAGTTCTCAAAGGTTCTTCTTTGTTTTTTAGGATTATATCTTCTGGGTGAGATCTGAGTAAGATGAACCATTTACATCATTTGGTTCAACATAGGCTTCTTGTTTCAAAGTTTTCTTCACTAGAAGCATCATTACCAAATGCATTTTTTTTCAAAGGGTCTTGAATCTGGTTTCTCCTGTATTTGAATATCTGAAAATATTTCAACTAGATTAGACACATTGTTGTCAAAATCTTTGTCATCAAACCTTACATTAATTTGTTATTCACTAATATCCAATATCCAAGTTAAATTGAACTTATGAAAAACACTGATTAGTACTGTTCAATTGGAATTGATTTTTTTAAAGAATTTATAAACTTATTTAAATAAATCTTTTACTTTTTTCAAACATTCCAAAAAAAATTATTTATAAATAAACATAAACATATTTTTTAGGATGACATTACTTATACTGTGAAGGGAAAAATACAATGTTTTTAACTCCCATGTTGCTTTGGAATTTCAAGGGCAACACAGTGCAAGTAATCATCCCTACAACCAACAAAAATCCGGCCACCAATCATTAACGGCGAAGAGAATATATCCCCCGGCAAGTCGAGTCTTGCAAATTCCTGCACTTCGCTTTTTAGTTGATTTGTATCTTCGGATAGATCTGTGTTTACTCGAAGAAGGTGTATACCTCCAGAACTAGAACAAATGCAAATAAACCTGAAGATGACCAAAAAAAAGTTTGAAATTGATAGTTGATGTTGTCCCTTTTAACTTCAGAAAACAAACTAAGCTAACCTGTCCGAAGTGTGGGAAGCATCAGATTCGGACTCCAGCTGCAAGTGCTCGTCAACATAAGCCGATGCAGTAATTGGATTTCCAACATTGTATTCCCATATTAGATCTCCCTTTTCCTGTTAATCAAAATTTAATCCACCAAAAAGATGACAAAACAAGAAACGGGAACAAGTTTATGAGCTGGTTCTCACTAGTTTGAACGAGTATACACTTCCATTTCTGCAGCATACAAGCACCTAGAGTGAAATAAAAGAAGAATATAAAATAAATAAATATTTCACCAATCACTTTGAATAACTATAATGCTAATAATAATACCCAATAACTTTGGAGATATTCTAACATAATATAATATCAAGATATTACAAGATTTTTCTAACAGAATGATGTACCTCATGAGGAAGGGTAGAAGGTATGCATGGCCCAGCAAATATTGGACCACCGGTTGTTTTCTGAGCAAATTTTATTGACAAAAAAGGAAAGTTGAGATTGCTTCAACCAGGGAACAAATTGCAAATATAAGGTTCATACTTCATACCTTCCAAACTATGGATCCGTTGGGATTCAATGCAAGAACATGGCCATCAACCAAACAACATATTACTGCAGGAAAGGGAAAAAAAGTATACATAAGGAAGAGTGGTATATACATAATCAAAAGGAAGAGTGCAAAATACATACGAGTTCCATTTTGAGTGACAGCCAGAGAACCAAACACTGGGACTTCTAATTCAAGTAGCCATAATATACTAAATGAGGAAACCTGGATTTAGCAAGGGAATATTTCAGTCTGACTTAAGATCAATAGCTGAATTAACTTGAATGTGTCGTCAACTTCAACAACAGTATTAATAGATTATTGCATCTATGTTCAATAAAAATTTGTGCTTTATTGTGTTCAGTGGATGATTAATGAGTTCAAACACCCTGTTATATTCATTACTCATTCACTGAACATAATCAATCATATTTGAACTACGTTAACCACTAAATTGAGGTTGGAGTTCGGTGTCAAATTCATGTCAAAATATTTTTTCTCATTTGACCATCACAGAAAGACCAGTTTATATTAGTACAGAATTGAAGTCTCCAGAAGAAAAAAAAAACATAATTTTTTTGCATGTAAGTTAATAGATTAATGAATTGATCGTACTGATATCGATACAGCTGTTATACGACCACCAGTAGAGGCCACATAAAGCACGCCACGAACCTACATGAAAAATAAGTACAAAAGATTCAGAACTCAGTAGTAAACTTTTAACTAACCAATATATACATGTATTGTGTTCTTCGGAAGTGAAATTCACCTCATCAATTGCAGGTGACCCATAGATACTGCCTCCACATGGTAACTTATAGACACAACAATGATTTTTGTAATCAAGAGCATATAAGTTATGATCATACGAGCCACACCTGCATAAACATTATTAAACCAAGCTGAAAATTTTCCAATCAATCAGACAATTTATAAAGTATATTATTGTTTTTAATGTTTCAACCAAAAAATATATATATGCAGATCTGCAAACTGTTTAAAGTTTGCATGAAAGCAGCTTGTCTAGTTGTCCCAGACCTATATGTAGTCAGACACCTTTTTGCCAACTTTGGGCACCTATTTTATGAACTTTGGATAGCCAGCCACTTTTCTTGTCATTTTGATTTATGACATGAATTTTAAATTATTTTATGTTTATATATGACATATAAGCTTACATTTTTTAATGTCATTTGTTTTTACTTAAAATGCAATTTTTTTCTTGATAGGATTCATAGATTCAATTTACAATTTGAAAAATAGGTATTCCGAATCCTGATTCAATTTGATAACGCTGCATCCAGTCATAGAATTTTGGGGGACTTTGAATATGGAGGTTTGTGCACTCTCAAAGGTCTATTGTGTTCTATATTTTGTTTTCTCATTTGTAAAAATCACAAGACAATAGAAAAAGAAAAAAGTTTTTTGAATGCTGTTTGCTTCTATTTGACTCTCAACTATACAAAATGCCGAAAATAGTTATTTCAAAGATTGATTCATACAAACCAGCAGTTTACTCATATCACAATTCATTACACTAAGGTTATCAAATTAAAAAGTCTACGTAAATCTGTGAAATCATTGTAGTCTCGACCCATAGATTTCTAAGAATTTACTTAATAGAAAATAGTGTTTAGAACATCTGATTTTAGCACAAACCCTTAGATACTTAAATCAAATATGCACCATAGATCATCTCCTCCATGAAAATAATGATATACAATATATTTATACAAAAAGCATGTATGGTCACTTGACTACATAGAAAGAGAAGAAGAAAAAAAATTACCAGATCAATTGTCTGCGTGTGTCTGTAACAGGCTGTGATTTAACCTTCAAGCGTTAAAACGTAAATTAGAAATTGACCACAAAAGAGGGGGTTATAACTACGTCAGATAAATGAGAAGAGAATAGTCATTATGAGTTATGACCCTATCTTAATAAAAGTGATAATTGAAAATAAATGATGCTGGATACTAGGAACAACCCGGGGAAGACAAGTTATCATCAAAAATAGTATAGTGGCAATTTGGTAAAAGTTACTATGGAAACAGTTGTGCTAGAGACAGATAGCAGTGATAATGTCGGTCTTTGGTGATCCTTGTAATGTGGTCCATATTGTCAGGACCTCTTTTTAAAAGGCATTGGAGATAAGTATACCAAGATTAGTAAATGATGTGGATAGTTCTTATGGAACTGATGATGCAGTGAAGGCATCAGTGAAGATTGGTGAAAAATGCAAAATCAGGTGTTTAGAAAGAAATAGAGATTAAGAGGCAACAGCTCTGCCTATGATGTTCCTGCAGAAAACCATTAGATCGGCCCAGGCCAAATAAAATATGATGTCTGAGTTATACAATATACATTTGATAACAATTGACCGGATTAGTCATTATATTGATTAAGACACTAGTTCATAGTTCAATCGATCAACACGGTTGAATCGGGTCTAATAGATAATATAGTGGACTACCTATTTTTAATATTATATAAAGAGTGGGGCTCCACTTATTCCAAGAATAAATTGTCATAATTACAGTTTCAATATTATCAATCGCAGAGCGGAAAATGGCGGACTATTAAATTCCTATGTGCAATAGTGCTATAGCACCACTAGCCGCTATTTAATAATATTCTATACTAAATAGAGTATCACTGAACAATAGTGGTTTGTCCAAATTCCACTACGTTATAGCAGTATAGGGTCGTTGCAGCTACTATTTAACAACACTACTTTGTTTAATAACTTGTTAAACAAGTAAATTTCCCAAATCCAATTATCAAATTAAAATTCTTATTAACTAGATCAAGTCTACAAATATTCATAAAATTTAAAAACATTTGATATTTCATCCAATAATTTCAATTTAACACATCATATACTTTTAAAAATATAGGAAAGCATCAACTGTAAGAGCTAATTTATTAAGTATTTGTGATAAACATGACTGATATAGATGGAAAATTATGTCAACTGAAAGAAGAATTAGAGGTGAGAACTGTTATGTGTTACGCAACAATCCCCTTATCAATGTAACCAGAAAAAGAATAGAATGGCAAGGTGAACTCGAAAGCACCTCTCCTAAAGTCCCAATAAGTTTTAAATTAACTAAGTTTCCCTTATTCCGATTTCTACCCAAAATATATTTTGAGAACCTATATTAATCCTCTCCCTTCCTTTACTAACTCCCCTTACATACACCCTTTTAATTATTAGGTGCCAATCAATTTGTTTTCCAGTTCCTTCTGCAATCAACTACACTCCTTCACATGATCTGTTTTGTAATTAAAAAAAAAAAGAACTCGACAAATAAAAAAAGTAAAACCTTCAGGAAGACACCAGAAAACCTTAAACAAGAAAAGACAAGTTTATACTTTATAGTGTTAAAACTAGATACCTCACCGGATGTTTGAAAAGTCCAACAGATGTGTCCATTCCGAAAATCAAGAAAATAGATTTTTCCCATGTAACAACCAACAACCACCTAGAGAAATACCACATGTCAGAACAAATGGATAGAATCTTGTAATATTTAACAATTGAACACAGACCTGGGAAAAATCAGGGACGACCGCTGCCGTACATTCAACCCGGCCTTCTAGTTTGATCTCCCACTGTATAGAACCACTAAACCAATTATTAAGCAGCAGTTTTAGTAGTTCTACTAAATATCTTTTGATAGGTCTAGCATCAATAGTGCATAGCACTGCTATGATTCAAGGGATTTACATTTTAAACCTACAAAGCATGATGGGACGAGCATATTCAATGGTGAATGAACTCTGTGGATAACAGTAAAAGTGTGACAGATAGAGCCAGAGAAAAAAGTATAAGCAATCTCCCCATTCTTTCTTGTAAAATAAATCTATAGTCTTGATGCATTTCAAAAAAAACACCAAGATTCTACATGTTATTATACATCATACATCAACATGTACTGTTATAAGAATTACTATAATAAGTTACAAGGGTTAAGTAATACGAGGCTCTCTACACACTGTATAGTGTATATTGTTCCATTACACTATTCTCATGTCTCCTCTTTTTCTATGCGCGTACAAATACAACTTAACGAGTACAAGAAATCATCATCGATGATGCCAAGTGGACAAATTGGTTCAAATTCAATCAACAAAAGAGTTGTTGCAGATATTATTGGAGATTAAACTATAAAATGAGGAAGGCGTTCAAATGCAAAACTTCATTGACTTAAGATCAATAACATGAGAAATACTATGTGATAAGATTAAAACCATTTAGACAAACTATATGTCTTCTATACCTTCTAGCATTTATGCAGAGAAACTTGTGTGAGTGAGATCCAATGAATAAATAAATATCTGAGCCTTTTAACACAACCATGGGTGAAGCATCAACACAAGATTCAATGTTAACTTTCCAAATGCTCTTCATGTGACCTCGGTTTCCTCTTGGAACTTTGCCCGACCATGTTTTGTGTGTATCAATTACAGAAGTCTTCTCTTTATACAACACCTTGTTGCATCGGCTAAATGAAGATGATAAGAATATTGAAGGGAAATGCCAAGGAAATGGTTCATCTCCCCCTGATGTAAGATCTGTAGAACCCCTTTTTAATCGCTTGGAAGGAAACAAAATATCAACATCATCTTTGGGAATCATCTTTGACTCCAGAGGAATTAAATTTTCAGTATGATTGGAAGTAAAATAGTCATTGTGCATGTCCGCGTCTAATTGCAAACATTTATCCAAGCTGTTATGCAAAGAACACAGTCCTCTTTTATTGAGAAGAGCCATACAAAGCTTAAAAGGAGTTGGATAGTAGTAAAGAAATCTCAAGTCAATCCCTAAATTGTGAGCAACATGTGCGGCAGAAAGAGAGTTACCGCCCAACATAAAGAAATCATCGCCGTTGCATAGCTTTTCAACCATTAAAGCATCGTGAAAGGCCTGTTACAGAACTCATCAAATAAAAAACTTTACTTCCACAGACACATTTTTTACATAAATAGTTTGAGTCAACAAACTACATTTACAAGTATAGGCACATATAAATATAGAAGCAACAAATGTCGCATTATATTATAGGTTCATAGTTTCATTATATTGTCATTTCATTAGAGAAAAGATTTTTTCTGGAGTCATCAAAACCTCCTTTACCAATTTTAAGGATCAACTTCATGATATCTTTACTAAATCTCTTTGAAGTCCTCGGATAACTTACACATGTAACAAGATGGATGCATATGATATATACGTTCCAGTTCCACCTTGACGGAAAGTGTTGAGATATTGATATTTATTATAATTGATTTGTTAGTAGCTTTAGGAATTATAATAGGATTGCATTCCAATTTAGATTAATGCATATAAATAGTTGTTTTCAACCTTTTTAGTAACACAAGAAATATTGATATTCAATATACACTAAGAAGCAGAAAACTAATTTTTTATTATGAAAAGTAAGAGAAGGAGACCGGCACAAACTTGCCTCCCATCCCCCCAGCTAAACCTATTTCCTCCTCATTTGTGGTTGTGTGTGTTCATTGCCAGTGGTGATAAGTTTTCAGATGAGAGAACCAGGCCGAATACCTAGTATAAAGCCTCTTCAACACAGATTTGTAGAAATAGCAGAAAAAACTAGATTCAGTAACCAGTCAGGCATACTTATCACCAAAACTTTACAGTTGACATCATTGTCCAAATCCAAATATAACTATTTACATTACAAAGTTCAACAAAACAAGATCAAAGGAGGAATTTTGTTTTCTGTTATGATAAAAGATATATTGTCATATAAAATACCGAAACCATACCTTTTTAATAAGTTGCAGAAGATTGATGCAGCTAGTATTACCAATCTTATCCTTGACATTCTTAGTCAATAATGCTGAGCTAACCAACAACTTATAATTAATCTTACCACTAGAAGTTATGGGAAATGATTCTGTGAGGATGAAACGGTTAGGGAGCACAACTGATGGAAGTTTGTTAATCATCCAGCTTCTGATTGCAGGAACTAATAATTCACCCAATTGTTGTTTGTCCTTCAATATTATAAAGGCTTCAATAAACACAAGATCTGCTTGAAGATTTTGACAAACTACAGCAGCATCATTTATATATGGATGTTCCCTTAGCAAAATTTCAACTTCTTCCAGGGCAATACGCTGCCCGTGGACTTTTACAATTCGGTCTTTTCTTCCCAAGTATATAAAATCACCACTTGGCAACTGTTTGACTAAATCACCAGTTCTAAAGTATAATTCGCTTTGGCAAACATCAACAGAATCTTTGCAGCCATAACTTTGAGGCAATTTTACAAATTCATCAGACATTATATCAGATTCATTGTAGTAACCCCTAAAAATGCAAGAACCGCCAACATATAGCTCACCCTCATTTGATACATTATTATCACCAATGAGCACTACATCGCAGTTAGTAATGGGTAAACCTATTGGAACACTGGTTAGCATTTCTTCCTTCAAAATCAATGGTATCCTCTTGCAATCAAAATATGTACAATCGCCAGCGACCTTAGTTAAAAAATGGAAAGGGAAAACAAAGGTATGATTAGTATGAGCCCATGATAATGATAGAAAAGACTAGGAAAGTGCAATATGACAAGACCTGTGAAAACTCATATTAACAAATAACGTAATTTGCATTTGAAATAAAAGAAGAAAAAGAAATGCATTCATCAGATAGTAACACAAAAAGACAAAATATAAGGTAAATCATTCATGTTGCGCTGTTTAAATTCGGGATCATTCTCATCAAAACCAGTGTGCCTTTAGCTTTAGCTTTAGCTTATCCTTCACCTCTAAACATCAAGCCTTGAATTTTGTTGTCACCCCAAACCATAATATCTATAGTTAATATTTTACAAATAACAAAAGAAATTAAGTAGAGATAACTCAAAGTCAAACAAGTATTACTCTCAAGGGGATAATGTGTCCAACCGTTTATATAAATCAAACCTACTCTATCACCCCTTGATCAAACCCTTCACTATTCTCTAATTTCCCTACCATACCTTAATTAAACTGTCCAATATTCTCTGAGTTTCTTAAAGCTTTGTGCTTGAATTTAGTCTTTTCATGGTTCCACCACTTGGCATGTTGATATAATTAAATTTTGGGTAGATAGAGAACTTGAGTAACTAAGATATTGCAATAGCAAAAGGGGTCAAAATGTTCTAATCACATCCCAAATATTTTTTTCCAATTCTTAAAGAATCAAATTATGAAGCATATTTTTCCATTCATTTATCATATCAGCAACAGAGCATCTGTTCTAGTGGTGGTGAGGATAATAACTATAATGCCTGGCATCTGTCTCCAATTATTTCACTTAGATTATAATATGTAATGTGTGACTACCTAGCATTGGATTGCAGTAACAAAGAGAGAACAGAAACCAAGGAAGCAGCTAAGAAAGAATATGAAATACTTTTCACACAGAAAAGAAACAATATTACGTCAAATTATGTGCAAGAATGGCAAAGACAATATTGAATCTCAAATAGAAGCACTGAAAGTCATAACAGAAGCGTAGTTTTCTTTTCTAACCTCGGTACTTCCGTATAAGTTCAATATTGATGTCTTTGGTAATATAGTTGAAAGTGTCTCCCACAAGGTAAGAGGAAAAGTTTCACCACTTAGCACTAGCAATTTCAGTGAACTTTCAATACGCATGTCAGCATGAGTTTGCAATACTGGAAGAATTGTCCTTATTAGTGATGGAACAGCCGTAAGCCTATTAACAGAATATGCCTACAGAAGCATTTAATATTACAGGCAAGGGTAAGCAATTAAGTATAACTTCCTTACTAATAGAGAATAAAAGAATATAGAATACTTTTCATTAGCGCGATATTTTAAAATAAAGGAGACAGTCCTTATGAACACTGTTTAAGTTATGTCTATATCAATAGAAACATTGCAGAACAGCATTTCCAACAATATTACCCAAAACACTAGTGGAATTTATTTTGCAATTTAAATAAAAACTTAAACCCTTAAAGGTAAAACACTAGCAATAAGCATTGAATTAGAAGGGAATGCAAACATGCAGTTCTTGCCAAACATGAAACAAGAACTCAGGTAAAAGATCATTAATGGCAATACATAAATCACAAAATTTGATCAGGAACCACCATACCTGTAGAAAGTCTATTATGGAATATGCATTTTCTTTGAGCTCTTTGAAAGGAGGAATAACTAATACACAAGCAGTCAAAATAGAACTGAGGAATTCTTGCAGGTGGTCAATGAAGCTGATTGACGACTTAAACAATAATAGTTCCTGTCCCGTTAAAGGATACACTCCTTGCATCCATACAAAACGGTTTGAAAGACCTAGCAAGAATGTAAATCAAATTGCAACATAAGACGGTACATATCCATAATAAAAAATAATATATCACAGATCAGAAACTTTTACTTTAAAAGCTAGTAAAATTTTAGGCAGAAAAATGTGTCCGGATGACAAATAACTAAAATCTTTCAATAAGAAACAAAAAGTAACAATCAAGCCCACTCTCATTGGAAGGACCGGTACACAGAACAATTGACACCGTGAGGCTCTATTAAAAACCAAAATTCCAACAAAAAAAATTTTGACCAAGGTATTATTTTTAAATGTTTCTCCTAAGCATCTCATTAAGTGATTTCCTAAAGGCTTTCTTTGGGAGTTTGGAGGAGAAGGGAAGGGAGGGCTTTGAAAAATGATATTTTTTTTTTAAATATAGTGAAATATTTAACATTTTTTGGAAAAAAGATTTGGTATAGAATGATAAAATAATGCTTATCGTCAACATATATTTAATTTTTTAAATTATATTTGAGCAATTTGTCGAAGCCCTCCAAAACCATCCTACAATACCAATTTTGAGTTCCCCAAATTAGGGGATTTTTGGTGTTACGAATAAAAACAAACCCTCCAAAACCCTCCCAACCAAAATTCTATTCTTTTCACTCAATCCTTCCCTTTTTTTCAAAGTCCTCCCCTCCCTTCCCCTTCAAAGTCCCAAACAAAGCCTAAAAGAATATTTGATTTGCGTTTATTAAGGAGAAGATGACAGAACCTCACGTAAGGTTATGAAACTGACAAGTGCACAACATGACCTTTTAGTAAATAGATATTGTTTTCAGTAAAATAAGTAACCACTACAACAAACTACAATAACAAGTTACCTTGTTCTGTACCACACACTCCTTTAGGCTTTCCAGATGATCCAGAAGTATACATCAGATAACAAAAAGATCTTTTCTTTTCATTGGCACAAGGCCATGCCAAATCCGTCGAACAACTACATTCTTGAAGATTTTCTTCAATGGAGTAGCTCAAAACAGGACAACTAATCGACTTAACCAACCAATGTGATTCATCAAGCCGGTCAAAGTTACTTTGACCACATGAAGACTGGGATCCTATAATAAGATCAGCATTTGAAGAAGAAGCAACTGACAGTATCCTTTCGTTTGGCCAAAAAGGATCCAAAGGCAAGAAGGCTTCCCCGCACCTCAATACTGAAAGAACAGCAATAATATATTCAACAGAAGGAGGCATATAAATCCCCACTATCTTTGGCCTATACTCTTGACTGGGGTTAACCATTGCCTCCACATTTTTCAAAGACTCAGATGTCAGAACAGTTCTCTCTCCACAGTGGACAACAATGTTACCTGCAGCCGAACATAGGGTGCTAATATTCATTTTCACATTCAAATAACATATAAAAAAGACTAATAGATTCTGAAGCACAAACACGGCCACCAGACACCAGACACGACACTGAATCCTAGGCAATAGTAATAATTTTAAAAAATTGAAGTGGTTGCGAACGTAATCACAGGTGTCGGTGTCGAGCAAGTGTCAGACACCACAAGCGTCTTTAACTTATAAAGTGTTAGTGCTACATACAATTAAAATCAAACTAACAAGCTAACTAACTAATTGTGAACCAATATTTTCCACCATCAAGTAAATAACGAACCTAACAAAGCCATTATCTAACGGTTTAACTAAATTTCCGTTGTAGCGAACCTTGAGATTTGGTTGTAATCAGGTGCGGGTCATCTGCACCATGAAGGATGGAGCGGATACGAGAGCTCAGAGAATGAACGGAATTCAAAATATGAGAGTAAGTGAAGCAACGGTCACCGTGGTAGAGTGGCGGGGACGTGGATTCGACGCGCTGTTCTAAGAGCGTGGTGAAGTCGTTATTGGAGTTTGGGGAGGTGGATTTTTCGCGGGAAAGGTTGGCCACGCCGGAAGCGTGGATCACTGCGATTTTGTTAGGGTTTGTAGATGCTGTTCGGAAGAACTCGTGCGAAATGCAGCAATATTGGGTGTTTGAGTTCATCGGGTTCTTTCCGAGTGGTGGTGGCGTTGTTGTTCACTTGAGTGTTTGATTCATAAAGAGAACTTACATAAAAGAGAAAATTGTTTTATCAAAAAATCTATTATTTTTAAAATAGATAATAAATCGATAAACAAAAGATCATTTTAGAAGTTGTCAAAATTTTATTAAAAAAACTAATTGAAAAGTTAAGGAATAATTCGGAGACAACTCAATTTTATAGTCAAAATTTTGATGAGTAATTTTATATTTTTATTATTATTTAATATTTTGATCAATAATTTCATGTTTATGTTATTTTCTTTTTTTTATATGTAATTTTATATTTTAATTATTATTCAATACATAAATTGCACATTTCATACACTTCAAACAAAATAAATTAGTCAATGATCCGACCATGTTAAAAATAATTGAAAAATTAAATTGAAATGAAGTTTCCTTCATCATAAGTTATGAGGATTTTTTAACTCAACCCATGTTTTTCTATTGCACTATGCGAAAATACATAAATGTCTCTGGAAATTGGAAATATATTTTTAGGACACACCAAAATGTGATAAAACATAGATTATTTCAGAGTTATATTTCCATTGGATACCGCAGTTACATTTCCGGTATTTTACTACACAGAATCCAAAAAAAAATTGAATTGAAATACACCAAGTTCACAAACTCAAAATACCATAATTCAAACATTGATATCATAACATAAGAAATATAATTAGTGCATCTTCGTGCACATTCTTTTACTGTTATACTTAGGTTTTTCTTTAGTTTATTTCTTTAACTTTTTCATTTTAATGTGTTTTCATATTTTAGTTTATTTTTATATTTAATTGATTTTCGTATTTTATTTTCAGTATTAGTAGCTTTTAATGAAAAAAAATTAATTGGTGCTACAAGAATCAGATCAACGAATTTTAATATTTGCTGGAAAGCTGAGAAAAAGAGCTACAACTTTCATGTTGAAGCTAGAAGTTGATTCGGACTGTAGATATCTCGGAAAATTCGTTGAAGTTTCAGTCATAAGAAACAATTAGTTTTGGACCGGTTTTGAGTCGGATTTTTATGTTTTTTACCTAGTTGGGTCATTACCCTAATTCCTTGTTTTTCCCTTATACCTAGGCAGTTGTGGTACTGTTCATTATCACATTTTACTATTCACAAAAAAAAAGTGGAGAACTTGTATGAATAATGAGGAACTAATCCCGAAGGCAAATTCTGTTAGTTACGGTTTCCATATACTTTAAGGTTTTTTAATCTTTAATCCAATTTCTTTTCTCTTTCAATATTAATCTATATACCTTGTTTGCTTAATTCTAGTTATATATAATATTATTGATTTCTACAGATTGTTTGATGTTCCTTGACTTTTACTGTATTTTATCGTTGCTTAATCGTTAAACTGTGTATGTTAGAATCACGTTTGCTTAATTCGTGATTGTGTTGATCTATTTGCTTTATTCGAAAAATAGGAATGAAATCTTATAATGTCAATTTTGCTTGTTAATTAGTGTTGTAATCAGTAGGGGAATAAAATCTGCTTAGGGGATTGAAGTTTTATGAACCAGTGATAAGTTGGTACCAAAATCAGTAGAATTGTTATTTTAGCTTATTTGATAATCACTTATTTTAATTTTTTATAATTAGACTATAAAACCAAACCCCCCAATTAATCATTATTGTTAGTTAATAAAATCAAGAATTTTTGTGATACGACTCGAGCCATTATCGTTAAATTACCGTTTTACAAAATACTCATTTTGATCTGCGTGCGACAGCGGATCACAATACATTAAGGATTTTAACATAATTCAAATATTACACTTTAACATCTAGGTGGTTGTTGCAACATCATGATAATATCATTGACCGATCTCGCAATAGTCGCATCCAGCTCGATCGGAAATTTTGCTTCTAAACAGAAAAAGGTTCTCCATATAGCCCGTAAATCAACGTTCGTCTTTAACTCATGGTTGATGAACTCAACCTTCCCTTCGTTGTCAATGGATAGCGAGCGGTACTCGATCTTCACAATTTTCCGATTATCGTCATATGGTAGAAGCTCTTGCAGTGAGTATTACAGATCTTCAATAGGGGTGAACTTAGTGATTTTAAATTCTCGCGATGGTGTATGGTCGGTAAAGTGAACATTTCCAACATGCCAAATGATGCTAATTCTGGTTTTTTGTATTTTGGTATAAAACAATATGAGGAATAAGATTATTTATAATAGTTGGAGGATATTATGGACCATATAAACTCTATCTGCTTACAGGGTGTGTACCAGAAATACATTTCTGGTTCCACCCTTAGTTAAATCGAAGGTGCATTTCTGGTAACTTCCCTGGTATTAAAAAATAGAAACAAGCATGAAAAAACCAGCATATAGACATAATAACAAAATGGTTGTGTAAGATATTGGATCGAACTCTATTGGGTCAAAGAATAACTTATGGTTCGACAGAATTTATGCATGTCTTCGAAGTATGTTCACATGTTGGTGTCAAAGACTTATATATTGTAGTCGAAGTGTTTTCTAGTATGTGGGTGTCAAAATGGTAGGGTTGTTAGTATTTCGAATAGGGTGTCGAAATGATAGGGTTGTTAGTATTTAGAATTGGGCATGTTTGTTATGTCCAATTGTTTAAGTTAGCTTGTACCCTAAGTTAGCTTGTAATAAGTATTTGTGAAAAAACCATTAGTTTAGTATGTTAGGTTTTTTATAAATAACATACTAGTATCTCATCATTGTATACTGCAAATCCTAATTTAGGGTGAGAGGTTTATTTGTTATTCTTGTGTACTTGTAATTTGATTTGAAGAGAAAGTATAGAATAATAGTTAATAACTAATCCTTGTTGTTAATCTTGTTTATTATCTTTTCTACCCTTGAAGGTTTCTCTCTAATAAGGAAACCTATTATATTTTGTTTCTAAAGCATCCTTTTTCATAAAAATATTAGTGCGGTGAGCGTGGATAAGATGCCTTCAACAAAGTATGAGATTGAAAATTTCACTGGAGTGAACGATTTCGGTCTGTGGTGCTTAAAGATGAAAGCCCTACTGGTTCAACATGGTTGTTTGGAAGTGTTGAATAGAGCGACGCTTATGGACGCTGAGTTAACGAAAAAAGAAAAGATATTTCCAAGTTGCAAGTTTTTCCACTATATGCAGTTGAAAAAGTTGCACGAAGAAAGCTAGTTGGTTCTCTGATAATAGAGTTTATTCTAAGGTGGAGATTTGTGAGATATTAGATTGAACTCTATTGGTTCGAAGAGTAGCTTCTAGTTTGACAGGATTTATGCATGTCGTCGAAATATGTTCATATGCTGGTGTCGAAGACCTATATACTGTAGTTGAAGTGTGTTCTAGTATGTGGGTGTCGAAATGATATGGTTGTTAGTATTTTGAATTGAGTGTCGAAATGCTAAGGTTGTTAGTATTTAGAATTGGGCCTGTTTGTTATGTCCAATTGTTTAAGTTAGCTTGTAATAGATATTTGTGCAAAAACGCATTAGTTTAGTATGTTAGTTTTATTATAAATAGCATAATAGTCTCTCATCATTGTATATTGCAAATCCTAATTTAGGGTGAGAGAGTTATTTGTTATTCTTGTGTACTTGTAATGTGATTTGAAGAGAAAGTAAAGAATAGTAATTATAACCAATTCTTTGTGTTCTTCTTCTTTTTCCCATCTTTTCTACCCTTATTTGTTTTTTGATCATAAAGAAACAAGTTTATACTTTGTTTCGAGGTATCGTTTTTTACAAGAGGTTGCATTCCACAACATAATACATTAAAAAAATGTTTGCATACAATAATATGATAAATAATTACTTAAATGACCTGAAGTAATTGTCGCCCGACAAATCTAAAACTGGTACCCCCCATTGACTTTTCTCTATTTTTTTCTTCTATTTCCATGTTGTTCAATTTGGTGTACTCTTGCATCCTTTCAATAAATTGATTCGGTCAAGTCTCAGATTGAATTGTATAATGATTCTCCCACTCTGATGATGTAAGTAGTATAAGGCATCCCAGTTTCAAATACACTTGAACAAAATGTTGTGTTTTTAAGAGCCACCTAACATAGATGATACGGTCATTGAGATTTAGTGTTATCATCAAGAAGTTTCAAGAGGTGTTGCATTTTGCTTCGGTCCCCCCTGAGCGCTAATTTGGATTGATAGCTCTTATTGTACACTTGCTTGATATTTGAGATATTTCTGGGTCCTTTGTGCTTCAAAGTTTTAAGTATGTTTTTGGGAGGTACCAAATTTATTGTCATTGTCGGGCACACATTCCCTCTCTTCCGGCAAGAGCCGGCATGTAATTAGTTAATCCAACCTGTTTTGCAAATTAAAATAGTTGGCAATAGCGGTGATTATCCCTCATATACAGAAAGGTGATACGCTTGCACTCATTGATAACAGAGACTGGATGTGGTTGAGGAGGAATGGAGCAGCATTAATTCTAAGATCGGGATCAAGGGTGCAGTGCAGAAAATACATTTCCCTAGCATTCACTTTATTGTTGTTTGCTCGCCCGAACACTGAATTGGCTAGAACACGATGGAAATAGCGGATGCATGGGTTGTGTATGTGAATGGATAAAAGCCCATCCCAGTCGTTTACCTGAGTATTAGTCAAACATTCCCAAATTTTAAACGATCTTGCCTTCCAATCTTCTTCAGGCGGAATTCTATATTCCACACCTTCACCATGGTTGCAGTGGAGTATCTGACTCAGAGTCTCTTAATTCATGGTGTACTATGTGTTAAATAATCTGAAAGTTGTTGTGCTGATTAAATACTAACCAGCTTCTGGAGTTTATGGTGTTTGGTAGGAAAAAGAACTCAAGAATTCCAACGTGAGGGATTCATAAGTTGGAATATTCATGGTGGCAATGTAGTAGAGACCAGATCCGTGAAGCATAAATTGCACACTTTCAAGCAGTTCCAAGTCACGTAAGCAATCTTCGTCAATATACCTCGTTGGA